ACTGATTTGTGATGCTTCTTTTAAACGCCCTCTTGAGTCTTTTCACATTGGAATTGGGTTCAAGGATGAGAGACTAAACAAAAGCCTATTATTTTTTTAATAGTCAATCCACTTCTTAAGGAGAGTTTAGGGCTTAACCTGGACCTATAAGGCAAAAGCCCCAATGAAAAATTAACTTAACAATGTCTGGAGGCAGTCTCACTGGGTATTTTAGTTTCTCTCACTCTACACCACTTTTCTGTTCTCAATTCTCCTGTAAGGAAAATATCTTTAAGGTGTGGATGTAGAATCTCTGCCAACTAACCACAATATTTTTGCAGTAATATCTGTGTTGTGCCAAAAGCAGTAAGTAAATGACATAAAATGCCGGCCTCTTTTTTTTCTTCGTATTTATTATTGCAACACAAAACAAAATGACTCTTTCTACAACCAGAGTGGGATGAGAGCAGCTGTACTGAGTCAGAATAGGAAAGAAAGATTTTCAACTTTACTGAAATGTTTTACATATAAGCATTGCCTGTTTGTGCAAGATATGCGCTTTTGTATGATTATTAATAGCATAGCAGATACAGTTTTTTTCTACATCACTCCCCTCATGATTTTCTTACCATCCAGTGATGAAGGTTCAGTATTTCTGTGCAGTTTATTAGTGTTCACAAGAGGTTAAATAATAATAATAATAATAATAATAATAATAATAATAATAATAATAATAGTCTGAATCAGTCAAAAAGTAGGTGAGGCATCAGTTGGAGTAATGTGTGCAATAATGACTATATATAGCCTCTTTTGCAAACAGAAGAGAGAAAGATGTTTTTTAGATGTTTTTTTAATATGACTGCACAGACATTTTCAAAAACAAAATGTTGTTTTGGCATTTAGACAATGAAATGGATTTAAATGCACCTCACCACAGAGTTCCTCTGCACAGCAGTATCAGTTTGTTGCTGTTTGTCTTATGCTGTACAGCGTTTGGACTGAACGCTGCAGGCAGCTGGATTTGGACCTCAGCTGATTTTCCTCTAGTGCCAACGATGTTTACTTTAGCTTGATGTTGTTTCAGGTGAAATACAAAGTAAATACGTTAAATCGAAAAACACATGAACTTGTTTATTAATGGCTAAGTTCACTTTGTATTTCTTGTTCTAGTAGTTGAAATTCTAGCTTTATTTTTTTTTTGTATGCTAGGTGTGGTGAATCGATATGAGTTTTTTTGTCAAGGACTCTTTAAAAGTGTGCAGTTGTTCTAGCTTTTCTATTAAAAGTCAGCCTTCCACTTTTTGTTTGAGTGTGACCAATACGTTTGGGGAGAAAACCCCTTTTGCTTTCTGACAGGCTGGACATCATATCTCATGAAGTAGCTCTCACTGATCCCAAAGTGGCTCTAAGCTGTTTACTGGTTAAGCTCTCGGCCGGCGTTTTGACAGCTCTGGTTTGCCAAAGAGTAAATCCTGAGAGGGGAGAGCAGTTTGGCGGTTCAGAAAAATGAATCCATGCATCTAGGAAATCATCTCAGGAGTCATTTTGTTTTTTCTTGCTGTCCAGGTGTCCACTGATTTGTTTTGTTAGTGTGTGCTCACATTTGTTCATTTGTTGCTGTGGACATGGCTACACCCTCCTGATTTGAATGACATGTCCATTATTATGAAGATAAGTTTTTGTCTCAAAAACTTGATTACAAAGTTGTTTTCATCCGTCCAGTAATGAGTTAGAAATGCTTTTCAAAAATGTCCTCCTTCTTCTTCTGTATATGAAAAAAATAGGATTCTCATATTTCCGATTATGTGGTTTTTGCTGCTGTTTTGGGACCAGGTCATAGAAGCAACAGTCTGGACAAAAATCCCCAGAACTCCTTGTTCCCATCTGTCTCTTTCAGCTCTTCCAGGGGAAAAGTGGTGTACTTCCAAGCCAACCATGAGATATGCACACTACAGCCTTTGAAAGCAAAGTCAAGTTTTGGTTGAAAAACTCTTTTTTTAGCCTTTTTTGTAAACTAGCAGGTTTATCTTACTTTTTTATTTCACCTTAATTTACCAATTCTCTGTAAAAAAAAAAAAAAATACACCACTTTACACCACAAAAAAGTAACGACAGTGGTGATTGCACCATGAAATCTAGTAGAGACTGATATATCCGGTGAGCAATGTTATTAAATTAAGAGTCAGTCACTAAAAACAAGCACAATGAGTTATTATCTGTGATTAGTTTGTGAAATAAGTGAGTGAAATGAATAAGTTGGCTACCGATGAGTACAGTCACTGGCAGCAAATAAGCAAGAAGGGAATACAAGCAATAGTAGTGAGTACTGAGAGGAGTTGTGAACAATGACATTGAGTTTGTGGATTGTTTTTGAATTGTAGTCTGCCTATGGTTGTAGTTTGGCAATGGCAGCAGAGGAAGTGAATGAAACCATTCAGTTCATGTTGGCCACATTTCCAAATATATAGAGCAGCTAAAATTCTCTCTTCGCAGTGGAGGATGGATGTTTACAGCGTACGCAATGTCCAGTAAGCTTCATAACATACCCTCCTTCAGGATTGATTTGACATTACATTACGGCCAAACATTAGCAAATGAGTAAAATCAGATCCAGTCATTTAAAACTTCAATATGCCAGAAGCAATAATTTCTCAAAAGGCAAAAGTCCATAGCCTCCGTACAAAGTGAAAAAGGCTAGTATGTCAAAAATTTAACAATGGTGTAATGTTAACGACAAGTTGTTTTACAAATGTTTCAATAAGATACAAGGCTGATGGTTTAGAAATAAAACTTCAACCGTCACTAACTATAGTATGTTTAAACCAAATCAAGCAATTCTCAGGAAGGACTTGGTTTCTGAAGCTCTGCAGAAAAATTATTTCACCAAATCAAAAGCATTTTAAGAATATATAATCCAAAAATTTAATAATATGGAGAAATTTAAATGTAAAAACAAAAGAGGAGAAACTCACAAAGGTGTACACCTGCGGTCCTTATTTTCCAGTCAGCAGTGCATCAATAATTCATCAATAGATAATAAAATAAATTGGAAAGAGTTACCTTTCTGACACCTGTTAACCACTGCAACATGGTGACTCATTCAGAAATGCAGCTTCAGTCTTTGAAGGTACAAAGTGGATGAGCGGTGACTTAACTGGGCTTCCAAAAACAAATGTTTCCTTCAGAACGACATCTTTCTCCCGAGAAATTTGATTCTCTTTTAAACAAAACAATTGCTGCTTATCTTTTGTTCTAATCTATTTATAATGCATTACATAGAAAATTTCTGATACCTAAAACTGACATTCTTGCAGTCATGTGGCATATAATGTGTCTGAGGGAAGAAAGAAGCAAAAATAATGCCTGAAATTGCCAAATATCTTCAATGCCAAAAATATCTTCAATGCCAAAAATATCTCCATCTAGATTGAAAAAAATGGAAACGCGTCTCTGTGTTTTTACGTGGTTTCTGCTTCTGCGTATTTCACCTATCTTGCTTTATTTTCTCGCTGAGTTTCTTCTGTTTTCAGGAGCGTTTCCAGATTGTGTGGCATTCCAACGTCTCAACAAGATTTGCTGATTTCATTAAATCCCCAAACAACAAAGGTAACAGAAAATCCATGTCAAACCAATTTAAAAACAAATTTGAAAACAGGACTGGGTTAACTGGGACCCAAATTTCAGAAAGCATTTTAAACAAAAGCTTAGACTGGACTCGTTATCGGTATATCTGGTAGTTGAGTGTCTGGTTACTCACATGTTTCTTCCGTATGTTTATTAAAATAAATATACGGGAAAAGAATCAAATGTCTCTCACACATTTCACTGACAGTCCTGTTAAGATCCAGTTCAAACAGAGATCATTGTGTTCACCTCATCGCCTGTGGTGGCGCTGCACCAAGAACTACTTCAGTGAACAGCATAAAAACCTCGGAGGAAGACATCAGCACAACTTTGTTCTTCAATAAATATAACAGAAGTGGCGTAGCATCAGATTTTAGTGTTATGATTCCTCTTTTGTCTTTGACAAAATACCACAAGCACAAGGCACACATTTTGTTTTGTTTTGTTTTGGTAGGCAAATGTCCTGCGTCAGCTTCCAGGTTTTGGAGCGGTCTCCATATATGCATTCAAACCACATCAGAGTTCATGTCAACCAAACCGAGACCGAGGTTTTTAGACTTCTTTGTCAGAGTTCATCTACATTTTCATACCTCCCCAAATGAGCTGGACCTTCAAGGCAAACAAACTAGAATTCGATTAGAGCTGACTAAACAGGGAGGATGTGAATCGAGCCTTTAAGCAGTGCACAAATTCTACCTGTGTGTAATCTAAATCCAGCTGCAGCTGTTTGTGAAGAGGCTTGTTAAAGAAATGTAGTGAACAAACAGCATCATCAAGATCAAAGTTAAAGCAGTGTTACGTAATGAAGCCATTATTTTCAGATCTGGACATTTTATAGATGACTTCTCCATCTATCACCTACTTGGACATGGAAAGTGTATGGCACATCTCTAAACATACCTGGACATATTGGCTATGGGAGCATTAATATAAGAAGAATAGAGCCTACTGACATGACAACTATTATTCATGCACTCCAGAAATCTGGCCTTTATGGAAGAGTGGCAAGAAGAAAACCATTGTTGAAAGAAGATCATAAGCTTCATATAAAGTCTACATTTTACACACCAACATCAAAGTTAAAACTTCAGGCTGATGTCCAAAATATATGTGGTAAAAGCAGCAGTGATTTTAGCTCTTGGTGTGGTTCAAGTTTAAAATTCTGTGAAACTTTACAACAATTAATTACACTGAAGTTCGTGATTGTTACTCAAGAAACACTTTAGCAGGTACTTTTGCAAACTTTCACTTTTGGGGCCAAACGGAGCAGGTGAGATTTCGGAGGTTGAAATGCATCTGGTCTGTCTTTAATCAGTACCATGATATCGGTTTTTATCCAGCTTTCAAACTGCGAGGTCTTTATATTTATTGAAGCAGGTAGGCTGAGTGAGACTCACCTATGATGAGCCACAGCAGAGCGTGTTTCTGCAGCGCTGAACCGGCGTGCGACTCCATCCTGTCGCTCCAGAAACGACCAGGAGAGTGAAGTTTCAGAGGAGGCACCGAGCGGATCCCACAAAAGCTCAAAGGTGAACGTCAAACATCATAAAGTAGCTTCTGGTAAAGAAATCCATCAAACGAGCCACCGCTGGAGCACCATGCGCAAACTGCTCGGGGGAGAGCCCGGACTCGTCCTTGTTCCTCCCGGGATACACGTCCACTCCCCCCGAGTCTTCCTGTCACCGCCCCCGTATCATCCCGACAGAAAACGTACCGAGTCGTGAAGTTAAGAGCTTTTTTCTTCTCTCTGTAAGCCCCGAGGTTAGAGTGAGATCCGGAAAGGGAACTGTGTGGAAACTGCGGCGTTTGGAAGAGTACTGTGCGCAACGGGACGCGTCAGTCTGGCACCGGCGGAGCCGAGAGAGAGACCCGCCCGGGTGAGCGGCGGGGACTCAGCCCTGACCCGACAAATTAGAGAGCGCCGGGAAGGAGAGCGAGGGAGGGTGGAGGCAACGAACTGACACTAATACCTTGCAACTGGTTATCTGATATACATATTGGAGTGCATGACGCAGTCTTAAGCACACAAAGTGACACATCATTTCTAAGATTCAGCTTATACAGAAAAAAAGCTCGACTGGCAAAATAAAACAAAACAAACAAAAACCAGTGTCACTCCTGATTTCACAAATCTCCCAAAATTCAAAATCTTGTGTTAAAACGTCCTATATTAAAGTTTGTCAATTTCTTTGCCATGGAGCTCTTTGGGGTAACTTTCTTTAGCTTTTTCAAACCAAAAAGGTGATTTATTTAATTAATTCAGCTCAAAAAGAGAAATATGCATGTCATGCAGTTTCTATTCAATTTTTCAATTCAGTTCAATTTTATGTGGGGCAATTCACAACAACAAATGCACTTTGCAAAAATTCTAGTTATCAAACAGTACCATATGCCCCATTATCCATGAGTAATTATTCAAATTTAAAAAATGTCAAATGAAACTGAGCAGATTGTTCCTTTAAACACAGCAGCACTTATTTCTTTTAATTATGCTAACCATGGTTCAAAGCTAATACAATTCATCTTCTTCGAAGATCCATAAAGCCAAGGAGAGTATATTTTTAATGAAAAGAAACATATTATGGCCTTGGCGTGGCCAACACAATCACGAGGAAGACTGCTTGCTTGGTTGTTGTTTAGCAGTTGGTAATTGAAACCTCCTACAAGGAGGACAAACCACAAAAAGACATTGCTAAAATAGCTGGTTGCTCACACAGTGCTCTATCCAAGCCTGTTTATGGAAAGATGAGTGGAAGTAAAAAATGTGATAGGAAAAATGCAGATGCTGCAGAAATATCGAGAGCCTGGAGATGATCATGAGGAACATTGGAATGACAGAAACTCCGAAGAGATAGTGGTACGCTCATATTTCCTTCTTAAAACACAGGTAATACTGTAATTAACAGTTAAACTGAATTCAGGTTTTTCATTAAGGTAAAGTACACCTATCTGAGTATTATAGATCAATGTATGAATTTCACATTTTGATTTGAGCAACTGAAATAAATTAGTATTCTAATTCACTGACAACTCACTTGGATACTTTGATTGGACCACTATAGTATGTTGAGTTGTTTTCTTTTATTGTGTTCCTGATCTTTTTATGTTCAAAGGCCTGTTATCACTCTTCACTTCAGCTTTTAGACATGTCAGGTCATTGTTTTTTTTCATGATTCTGTAGATCATTGCATGGCTGAAACATCTGTAAGAAGAAAAATCATTTGGTGATATTACTCTTTTTTTGATAAACTAAATGTAACATTTTCATTATTTCTAATGTTTCATCATTAAAACTAGAACACCAAAATAATCACAATGTGTGCAGTGACTTTGCATAATACATGACTTTGATTATTTTAAATTGAATTACAGAAAAATTGATATATATTTTTGTAATATTTTAATTTATGACGCACGGAGAAAGGTCTGGTGTCGATCCAGCGTTTTCTTCGGCTTTCTTTCAGGACTGAAATATTTATGGTAGTTAAACACTGCCATCTTGTGTTCATGTGGGGGAGGCTCCACTGTATATGCTTTATTATAATTTTTTTTAAATATAAAAAGTACTAGACATTATATTGCATTGCTCATTTAGCCAATATAAGTTTAGTGTTACAAGTAATAACGCAAAAAGAGTATAATAACAATAATAGTAAATTCATTATTATACCTCAGTTATGATGTTCTGCCAAAACAGTTACTGAAAATCTATGGAATTAAAAATGCTCAAAGGCAAATATTATCTATATGCTTTTTATATTTTTTGAATTTATTCCACTTCATAGAAGAGTTTTGATTTTCTCAGTCAGCTTCCTTAACTCTGTTTTTTGAAAGTAAGAAGTATTTTTATATATAATTATAAATATATATATATAATTATGTATAAAATAATATGAAAGGCCATACAGGCACATCTCATTAAATAATAATGTTTTTCTGTGTGTAAGCACAGCATTCTAACCTCAGCTGAAAGGACGTACCTTTGTGCTGCCTTTTCAAAGTGCATAAAACTGTCTCCCTTTGTCTACAGTTTGTTTTGAGCCCAAAGTCAAAAGACGCTTTCATCTGAATCTGTCCAACGATGACACATCTATAAGGTCTTGTATATTATTCTCTTCCAAACACCTTTGTGTGGTTTTACGTTGTGCCATATTGTCAGAACTGCACAAAAATCCAGCAGGCACAGAGTACAAACAAAAAGTATTAAAATATAAACCATAAGGGAAATAAAATAAGGATAAAGAAACAATATGTAAATGTATCTGCAGCTGTTTTCTTGATATGTAGGATAAAAAAAGAGCAAAAAAGCATATTTTGTTTCTCTGTGTAGCTGCTGATTGGCTGTAAGGTATTTGTTGTGTTCCAGGAGACAAAAAGAAAATGTTTGTGAAGAAGCTGGTTTTTATAAACAGCACTCTGCAGGGCCTACCTGAAGGTAAAAGCGTGTCCAGGATGTGTGGGGTCTGCAGAGACGTTAGCATACATTTTCCTGATCCTAAATCTGTACAGGTTCTGTTTAGAATTCTCCTGACAATATTCCTTTTGCTAGTGGAGCATTTGTTAACTCATTTAGAAGTTCTTACTTTCTGAAAAACTAAACAGGTGGTTTTGATAAGCTGTAATGCTCAAAATTTGGAGAAATGCATGCTTGAGATACATCACTGTGTACAATGAATCCATAATATCAGTTTCTTTTTTGACTTGAATTACCAAAATATATAAATACATTTTTCACTGATATTATTATTTAATGAGATGTGCCTGTATGGCCTTTCATAAAGAAAATTCTAATAAATTTTAATAAAACTGACTTTTTTTGCTTAAAATGTCTGTCGAAAGAAATTATTTATTTTATTTTCAAGAATGCTATTACCATATTTAACAAAGTTGCAAATATCACATCAGCAAAACCTTGTTCTGCCGGTAAGGAACAAAGTTACATTGTAATAATCAATATAACAAGCACATTATCAAAGGACCAAGCAAATTATTGCTTGATCTTTTAAATTTATGCTTTTAACATGAACAAATAGAAAGCAAACAATGTGTCTCACCGTGTGGGGTAACAAACTGTCTCTGGGTAATTAAAAAAACACCTCTGTTAACGACTGTCTGTCCAACTGTTTCCAAGGCAACCAAGTGTAAACAGATGACAGAAGGCACGAGGGACAAAAGACAAGAAATTGCTTGAGTGGACAGTCTGCTGAAAATAGACCAAAGCGTACAGAAAATAGATCAGCCTACAGAAGCTGAGAGGAGTCACACAACCGGATTAGTTACTGATTGAAGCAACAGAGACAAGTGTAAGTAAGACACTTCATTAAAATGTTTCACTGTCGGTCATCATTTCAAGCTGCTGACAATCAATTCTGAGGAGTAAAATATACGGTTTTAATATCCAGAAGCGTCTTTACTGCTAATTTATTAACAAAAACTATTGCTTTATTGTGTAATTCAGAAATTCTCTGAGTTCTGCTCTTTCCTTTTAAGAAACATTAAACCGGAAGAGATTTTGTCGCCAAGGACGCACAACAAAGGACACAGGCAGATCCCATTGACATTTTTTTGTTGTAAATGACCAACCCTGTAGGGAAATAATAAATAAATTAAGAAAGAAATAATGCAGCCTTTATTATATATTGATTTACTGATGTTTATTCCATTAGAAGAGATTTTCATGTGAGACTTCCTCCATTCACACATATAAACTGCCATTTGTAAATAAGCTCAATTATAGACTCCACAACAGTTGTAATGAGGGATATATTTCCAGTCACGCCTTCTGTCTGGTCCCAGTGGGCAGCAGAGGGTCATTAGAGACTGACATCACATGAACACTCTTGACAGCCAAACACCGAGTTAAGAAAAACATTCTTACTTGGTCCACAGCTCAGAGGTGGCTCTTCTCATCTGACTTTGAGGGCAATGGAGGCGAAGAAGTGGAGAGACACTGATGATGTGGAAGACGACAACAATGATGATGATGTGATGCATTTCGGAGAGCTGGAAGGAGAAAATGTTCAGGTGGTTTTAGGACCACAGATGGAGATCCTGGATGTGCTGGAGGTGTCTGATGATGATAATGATGAAGAAGCAGAACGGAGACGGGTTGACCTCTTCGCTGCTTGTCAAAGCAACATGTCAGAGGTGAGTTACAGGTAAATGTGCTTATATATGTAATTTAAAAAGTTTTGGATTATTTAAAAGATTGGTGGAAAAAACAGTGGGGTCATGTGACACAGTAATTTTCCTCTCAACAACAACACCTGTTTACAGCATGTAGGTGCGTCGCATGATCTAAATGTTGCTCTATAAGCTCCACCCACCCTTTGGGAGTCATGTTGAAAATGACTTCCTGGTAACGTGAGAAGGTTTCCTCTTAGAGATTAGTTACTGACAACGTAGAATCCTCATCATGAAGTGGACATATAAAACTAAGATTAAATAGTTCACTGAAATACTTGAGAGCAACTTTGATAAAAATCTGAAAAGACACAAGATGTTTTCCCTTCAAGTTCTGTTCATATAGATCCAAACAAAGTAATCAGTCTTACAGAGCAAAAGAGACAAATATTTAATCCATTTTAATACTTTAAGTGGCTGTGGCTCTTCCAAGATCTATTCCCAGGCCTTTAGGATTTATCCATCCGTCAAACCATCTGGAACGACTAAAACAGGAATCCCAAAATTCAAAATCTCCGCTCAGTTGGTCATATCTATAACTCTTATCAAAAGGAGGCCTCTAGCAGGTGTCCTACTCAAACAGAACAGCATCTCTGGCTGAACATCTGTCCCTGAATGTGAGTGAGAAAAGTAATTACCTGAGTGAAGTTGGTCCCCACTTTCCTCACATCAAATGCAATTGGTGTCAAACACATGTGCTACGTTTGTACAGCAAAACTTTTGTTTGTGCAGCTATCATTTTAAAGATATTAATAAATGTTTGTAGAAGTCATCAAAGGTCAACCAGCTTGTCCACATTTTCAAAATCAACGGTTAACGGGTGTTACGTTTCTGCAGCAAAAAAAATTGTTTGTGCTGTAATAAATTTTAAGAATTTACAGAAAAAAATATTTCTAGTGGTTACCAGAAAGTTTGGTATAAATTAAGTGTGCTATATTTGTGCAGCAAACATTTTGTTTGGCCTGTTATGATTTTTAAGATTTTTGTATCACAGGATTATTGACACTACATTTATTTCATTTTGTAAATGACGGAGGTCAAGGTCAAGCAGCACAAATTAAAATTGTTGCTGCTCAGATAACACAAACACAAACTATTACACCATTTCAGTAATAGCCAGACTGTCACTACAGATTTTCACACCAACCTTTTTCAAGTCAACAATATCTTATCATATTAATTCAACTAATTGACCATTGTGATTGGTGTGCTCAACAGGTGGTGCAGGGGCTGCTGAGGACCGACGCTGACCTGACGCTGTGTAACCACAGACAGCAGACCGCGCTGCACATCAGCCCACCTGAGCTCCAGGAGAAAATGGTGAAGTGGATGACGAGGCCCCATCTGCCTGCACAGGAGCAGCTGCTGCAGGCTGCCTGGCAGGGTCACCTGGGCTCTCTGAGGCAGCTGCTGGTGAGTCTTTGATCCAAAGGTCAGGGCGAACTGCTCAGCAGAGACAGCTTGTGTCACAATGTGGGACACTGTTTTTCATCTACTAGCTACATTGTCAACTTTTATTAAATGCCTGTAGCTTTTTGTGTGTCACAAGCTGAAGGATTAATAATAACTCTGGTGTTGTGTGTGTCAGTCTCAGACAGACAGTGTGGATGTGAACATTCCCAATGGTGATGGAGCAACAGCAGTAATCCTCGCCGTCAGAGATGTCGACCTATTTCAGGGCATGGTGACGTGGTTACCATGGGAACACAACCCTGTGGAGGTGGTCAAGGAGCTTCTTGTGTCGTCAGCGTAAGGAAAAACATGGCTAGACGTCCTGAAAAAAAATAAAATAAAAAAAGCTTTAAAACTCCTCCAAAGAGTCTGAATAACTGTTGACCTCTTTTAAATAGAAACATGACATATTTATTTTCTCGAGGGACCATAACAGCGTTGCTGCTTAGAGTTGTTGACATTTTTTTTTAGTGATTTGCAAACTCGAGACCACAACGGCTGCTCTGCCCTCCACTACGCTGCTAATCTCAGCAGTCATCTGCTGGAAGAGATTGTTCCAGTTCTGATCGAGGCTCTGGGTCACACAGGTACACAGTGACACGCTGATTCACACACTAATACACTAAAGTCACATTTCAATCCTTAGAAATAATTTGCATTTGTGGAAGGAACTATAATACCTCAATATGATAGTGTGTTGTACTATAGCAATCAATAGACAAGGACAGGTGTTAGAAATAAGACTTTCCATTCAGGTAATCCAGACAACCTTTGACCTTGAGGACCAGACTCCAGACCTGGTTATGCCACAATTGGCTGAAAACCACAAAATATTTATGTTAATGCTTCTTAAATTTTGATTTCAACAAATCATATGATGTGTGAAGATAAATATATATTTTTAATTTGTGAACGATATAACAAATTATTTGAAGATAATTTATAAAGTGAAAAACAAAGTTATCTGCTAACTCAATTGATTTCTAGGAAGAGACTACTCAGGACATACAATGTCTTGTTCTTTTTTAACCTTGTCAATTTTTTGCAGAGGCTGATTCTAAATCCTTGTCGGAACTTGAGAAATACTTGTTCCAGGATTTGGACTTTGGAGATTCAGACACAGAGCAGGATGCTGAGAGCCTTTTTCATCATCATAAAGCAAGAAGACATCAACTCAGCGACCATTCTCACAGCCATAGCAGGGTAAGAAAAACAAAAATTTGTTCTTGCAAAGTGATTAGAGCTCACAGAGTTTACAGATCTTTGAAGACACTTTAAACATAAACTCAAGGAAACATAAATATATACGTTTGATACAAGGTCTAAAGCTGCCGTTGCATTCAGATCTGCAGAAAACCACAGTGGAGCCAACATAGTTTTGTGTAAAAAGGTTGCACAATTGTGCATAAAGCTCACTAATGGCTTGGGTGTGGCTGAAGCTCTCAGGTTACACTGATTAACAAACAGAGGTAGAATGGGAGTGAGCAATAGTACACACAGCTTTGGGTTTTCTGTGTAGCCGCCATGCTTCATATAGGAGACGAGCCAGCAGCTGGTTAGCAGAAGGACGAAGCAGCTGGTCGATGGAGACGCAATGAAGTTTATATACGTCCCAGACACACTCTGTGTATCGTACATGTAATATGTCACCAAAACATTTTGCATAATACTAAAATGGATTAAGAACCTAATGCAGCTGTAGTTAGTTAAATCTGTTTTTACTTTAATAAAGTAAGTAAAACAAATAAAATTAAAGGATGCAAACTGTTTAGACTGAAAAAAACATTGTTTACAGACCCTTAAACACCCAAATAAACTATTTGGGTGTTCATATGTAACACCCAAATAGTTTATGTGTGCACATAAACTATTTGTAAATAGTGTAAATAGTTTCCTTCAATTAATCAGTAAATAATTTTCACATGTTCACAATTTGCATATCTGTATATAAAGATATCTAACACTGTACAAACCTGGTCGTTATGTAAAACAACGCCATAGTTAAAAGATGATCACCATATTGGGGACACAGTAAAAACGTGGGAGAAAGTCGTCTAGTCAGATGAGGCCAAGATTAAACGAAATGCTATGTGACACCAAAAAAACGAATCGGCATCCTCACATTAAAAAAAGGTTGATGACAATAATACCGTTCATCTTTTCAGGCATCTCTGCAGACTTCAGGGAGTCTCCCTCAATCTGACAAGAAGGAGTTCAGCCAAGGTACGGGCTTCTTCAGCGACACTAAGTTCAAACTAAAGAGATTTTTTCTGTATATTTGATCCCAGAGGATAAATGGGTGAGTAAGATTGGAGGATGGTAAAAGATTACTGTTATAAACAGCAGCAAAGACTGACATTTTGGAGCCACTGAGTCTCCATGATAAACGTTAGATGTTATTAACATATCAGCTGTTTATTTAGGAAACATACATGTGCAGTTTGTGAAACTCTACAGGGATATGTGTGGTATAGTCAGATGAGCCTAAGAGTGAGTTGGAGGAAAAGCTCCTCGAGTCTACTGCTAACTACAGTGAAGAGCTGTGATGCTGTTTCTCTTCCAAAGACCCTGACTGTGAAACTTGTTAGAGTGCACAACACCCTGAGGTCTTTGAAATACCAGGACTGTAGCCAAAATCTAGAGACCTCTGCCAGAAACTGAAAACAGGTAGTCACCCCAGAAAAATTCTCCAAAACATTTGGCTAAATCAACACAGTAATAACCAGACACAAAATAACCTTCCTCACTGGCGAAAATTAAAGAAATGCTGAAATATTTTTGTAAAACTCTGTAGACTTTTAGAAATAGTCTTAGTACAGTTCACTGAAAGAGAAGCATAATGGTCGGCATCCCAAATGGGCCACGAGATCAGATCACCTTCACAAAGGGGAGGGGATCTTAGGGAGGCTGTCCAGGATGGGAGGGGTCTTCCACACAGTACAAAGCTCTCCTCTGAGAAACCTGCCTCAACATCTTTCATCCTATGCATCCTCGACAGGCGGGCTTCTGCTCCAGCACAAAACTGAAGACTTTCGGAAAACAATTTCAGTGATTTAGACAAAAAGTTATGTGACATGAACGGACATGTAAGTGTAATATCTGGACATATGAACAAAGGGGATCAACGAGTTTAAACACAGGTACAGCGAGCTATCGTTTTACAGTGAGCAGTAGTCTGTAATGTGGATGTGTTTTTGTAAAGAATATTTAACTGAAAACAAACAGGGCAAGTTGAATTTGTTGCTTTGACTTAGCAAAAATGTGGTTTCATTTTAAAGAACCTATAGTCCTTAAATCTTTTTAACATCACTGTCATCAGTCACAACATTTCTTATGTTTTTATTGTTTCTTTCCTCCTGGGATATAAAATTTTAATGTTGTAAATTATATCTACATTGACTAAGTTTATTCGTTTTGTTTTACTGCTGAAAATGAGAGCATAGACCTTAAGTAGAGTTGATGAGTGAATGTCTGTATTTCTACCGCAGATAAGGGGATTCCCACCTGTTCCCAAAACGCCATGGAAACTCTGAAAAGTCCTGGACGAGCCAATCAGGACGCAAGGAGAGGCAGCAGGTGAGTATGAAAAAATCACCCATCTCTCTCTCACAAACGTATTTTTATGCTAATCAATCTATAATGTGAATTAGTGAAGAAAAGTGGCGTCTGTTTATATGTAACACCCAGACAGTTTATGTGTGTACGGTTAAAACTCCTTACTTAACAAACAATCTCTTACACTGTACACTGCCTCCAGGTTTGGTGTGCATGTGCCTCTTACTTTGACACCAGCACTAGAAAAGAGGCCTATCTGGTTACGTTTGCAGACCTGTGCGCGGGCACCTGTCACTGTGTCCAGAGGACAATCTGTTCTGCCCAAACAGGTCGGATATACACAGACCGGGGCAGAGAACTTCGGTGAATCAGCTCATTGTCTGTTATGAGCAGCACTCACATTTGAATCAAGTCCAAGTTCTGAGAAGAGAATAAAACTCTTTGAGCTGCTCTAATTTCATAGAATCAGCTGCCAGTGCATTTGGTTTGGTACAAGGAAATGAAAGTCAATCATTTTCATGATTTAACATGTCAACTAATATGGTTTATGAATGCAGCTTTTTCTTTTACATGTAATTAGAGTTAATTTCAGTAATCAAATAGATAGGAAGAGGACAATCTGATAATGAGATATGGCAACCGAAGAATATAATGAAAATAAATGCATTAAAATGTATTCCTGCGGTCCCTCACTATGCTTAAAATGGATATGAACCATATGGATCTCCAACTTTCTGGTTCCAAATTCTGAACATATCAATAACCATATTGTGGACATTATGATTTGAATTTTTAGCCAATTTTATGAGATACAAATCATCATATTAGCACATAAACAGGTTTTTAAAACAGCTTGTTTTAAAATGTGCAGCAGTGTTTTGGGGTTTTTTATTTGTGGATTGGTGAGGAATTCCACTTTTAGTGGCATTTCCATCTGATTTATCTGATTCTATGACATCATAAGTCATCTGAAGTCATTTGACAGAATAGGGAAGAAAAATAAAACAACCAAAATAAGTGAAAGCATCAGGAAAACAGAGAAAACCAAATTACAAAAGCTACAAGAACCTCAGTATGATTCAAAAGACACATCAGCATTTAAATTCTGACTCCATATCTAAACCACGTAACTGTCTTCTAACTTCCTTGTCTCATTTTATTTGCAGAGGTTTGTGTCTACCTAGCTTGTCCAACAGTCATAGACATAGTGACCATTCAGATGCTCTACTGTCATCTGGGTTTCTGAGTACCAGAACCGGGTTTCAGCTTGTACCCCCCAGACAAAGGTATAAACACACGCACACATTAACAACAGAAAGTAGAATGTATGTTTGTTGTTCTGCATGTGGCCATAACTAAAATAATACAAAAATGTAAGACCACGCATTTACTCTGAGGCAAAATTAACTAAATAAGCATAAATAATTGGATTGTTTGACTGCAGAACGTCCATATGCTGTTTTTATAAATGACAACTGATTGTACAGAATCTTATGACACACAAACGTAATAAAAATTCAAAATCAAATATTTCTGTGTACCTGACAGGCAGAGGACAAGAAGTGTGGCTGAAGTCTCTCCACCTTCCCATAGTCTGCTTTGTGTGCCAGAGTCCAGCCAACTCAGCCGATCGGCCCCAAGCATCATGGAACCACTCCTGTGCCCCAACACCATGATGCAGGCCAGAGCGCACATTCAGACCAGTAAGTAAGAACAGAGCTGATGTGTGCAAAAAGCAAATATTTGAATGTTGTTAACACTGGAATATTTTTATGTTTACAGGACTGAGCTCTCAAAGTACGTTAAATGATCAAAGGGTGAGTTTTAATGATTCAAAACTATTTAACAGAAATGCATTCTTTAGCAGTAAATAAATTGAATTTTTTGAATGATTGTTGCCTTTTTATCATCTTGAACCAATCTCAATTGACCACAAATTCTAGCATTGCATTTCTGTCCATACAACAGCTCCTCTACAGATATTTTATCATCTTCAAATCATTCTTGGTACACCTGAGAGATGGTTGTACATACAAATTCCAGTGATCAGCAGTTTTTGAAAACACACACGTCCATTTGATGTTAACAAATTATGGAACATTTAAAGTAACCTAAATCCTCTTTTGTCCCCAACCTAAGGCAAGTTGTCTAGTTGGCTAAATGCATATAGCAGCTGGCATGTGACTGTGCGTTTTACTAATTTTATTAACATGAAATTAATCAGATGGATTCAATAAAGTTGCCATTGAGAGTATATTGATGTGTTCCTATTTTCATTAGATTTTGCTTTGGTGGAATTTCCCTCCATTTAGACATTGTCTGAATTTCTCAATTTTGGGGGGATTATTTAACTATCTCTTGCCATATTCTGTAAGTCATTCATAAAAATCAGGCAACGTGTTTTATATTTATACAGCTTGCCTACACCACTGAACTGCTATCTGTATTTCCAGGGTCCTTTGCCAGCTTTCCACTCCCACACACCCAAACTTCTGGTGCCCATTGAGGGTCGCCCAAGACATATCAAGGCTCTGCCACCGCTGAAACCACATGTTCCTCTAAGGCCAATTAGCCGGAGCCCTTTTTGCAGCAGAAATGAACTGAGACAAGAGAGGCAGTCTTGGGGCAGCTCATGCAGTGGTCCTTCAAAGGCTGGTAGTGAGGAAAGTGGATCCAACAGCAGCAGCCAGAGTTCCATCAACTTGGAAAATGAAGATGATTCTGGACAAATCCAAGAAACATCTAATAAGGACAGAAATCTGAAATTTGTAAAAGATAGAACGTTGCAGAATTCAAATGACAGAATTGAATTGGAGGCAGATTTTTTTGGAGAAACAACGCGACATGTCAAAGCGAAACTGTGCTCATTGGTCAACCGATCAATACATGACATAGAAAGAGAACATGTCAATTGTACTAATCCTCCACCAGTAGAAAAAACGGATTCACACCATCAAAAGGAGGCCAATAAGAGTGAATGTGTAAAAGAATGTATCCACTTTGAGAGTAATAAAATGTCAGATGCATACGTGTTTAGTGAAGTCAAGCGAAATCCGAACCACACAACTGAGTCAAAGTCTGGAATAAGCAACAAAACTAAAAATGATGCAAAGGGTCTTGTAGATGATGCTACTGGTTGTTTTGAAGAAGATTCTGAAAATGAACAGAAGGATCCAGAAAACACAGCGTCAGCTAGAGATATTGTCTGTGATCAAGAAAACAGGGCAGAAGGAAGAGATTGCAGTGCAGTTAGTGCTGTGGAGAAAACCGGCTTCTTTCCTGTGGATCCCAAGAAATACGAGAAGATGTTTAAAGCTCGGAATAAAGAGAGTAAAACCAGGATGAACTTCCACTTGAAGGCAAAAAATTCAACTATTCATTCTCTCAACAAAGATGCAAGAGTCATCAGTGGTAACCACTCTAAAATTAACATAAAGTACTCTGCCATTCCCACAGTGGACAAAGACAAAAGCAAGAAAATTAAATCTGGAAATGCAGCTGTCCTCAGTGTGGGTACTCTAACCCCACGTAACATTTGTGAACCACACAGTAACAAAATACATCAGTTGATATCAATGAGAGAGCTAAAAAGTGCTCAGCCATTGAAGAAACCAGGCTTAGGAGGAAAACCCCCAAGATCTAAATCTGCTGTGGACCTCATCACTTACAGAGACATGTTTCAGCAGATACAGAGTGGCAGCGAAGGACCAGCCATGTATGAGATGTTTGCTGGGCCATTATTCGAAAATCTTCGAGTCTCCAGCTCTTGTGAGAAACCTAAAGAGAGACAACTGCAGTGCACGTCAACAAGAAAGACAAAACAAAGCCACAAAGTCAAACATAAACCAGTACAGAATAAGCCAAAGAGAAACTCAGTGGAGAGCACGGCTACTTTGACAAAAAGCAAACCAAAACCAATGTCATCGCAAATCAAAACACAGTCTACCACTAACAGCTGCAGAACAGACAAAAACCCTAAACTCGAAGATGAAACTGATGATATGAAGGATGTTGAGTTTAGTCGTAAGTCTTCTAAGGATGACTTTGAAGATCACATTTTATCAACCATAGTGGAAGCTCTTTCAAAAAATGGATCTGAAGCATTACAACCACAAGAGGAAACTCCGACAGAACCCACAACTCCCCTTTATGGTGTTGATTCTAGAAATCATAAAACTTCAAGTAAATCAACAAGAAACTCAGATAAACAAGATCCACAGTTGGCTCAGTCACTAGACCCTCTGCAGGCAAACATCAACACTTGGACGTCTTCAGACAGTACCTGCCACACCCTGATGTCACCAGTTTACAGGAAGTTTCTGGATGAGGTGGGGGAGGGTCCGCTGACAGATGACCTACTGCAATGTCTGGCAGAAGAGCTGATCTCTTTGGATGAGAGGGATATTTCTGCAGCTCTTGAAAACTCAGAACATGGAAAAAAGGAGCTCCATGGTGAAGAAGAGCATGTATCAGGAAAAAAAGCATCTCCTGAGGTAATATTTTGAGCCTAAAAATGACTAAATTGAGTTTCTGTGTCTTTTATCATTGCGAAGATTGGGATGACAGTTTCCAACTCAAGTGGTCAATAGGAAAGATGCAACCTGGACCAGTCACCAGTCCATCACAGAGGCAAACAACCATAACCACCCGACACACATCTAAGGGCAATTCAGAAACCAGTTAACTTGACATACAGTCATATTCACAAAATTAAATTATGGATTCTGATGAGCCATATTGATCAAACTTAGAAAATAACAACCTTGAAAGCAGGTAGTAAACATGTTTCATTGAACTTACCTTGATATGTAGAAAAATAATTATTTTTAGGTCTGATGTAATATTCTAATCTTAAAAGTCTTGTTTTCATTAGCTGTAAGAGTTCAAATCATAACCAAAGGACTAAAAATATAAATGGTGTGTAATAAACTTTGAATTGATGACAAAGTAACCAAATGTCGACAAACGTACCTATTTTCCCCACAAGTGTTCCTTTATTTTCTAGCATTTATGACAGACATCATAATGAGTACTGTTTGTCTTAATTAACTACTTTCCATCCAAAGTTCAAGATTGAAGGACAGAAATTGATCTCAAGCTAAAATCCGGCTAATTCTGATGTGTGTTTGAAATACTTCATTAGATAATTGTGTTTCTATGCATTTTATTGCAGGTTGCTCGAAATGACGGCAACACTTACCTCGGATCGGGGTTGGTTGCAAATGACACCATAACATGGGCTAAGGGTGAAGTGCTCGGGAAGGGTGCCTATGGGACAGTAAGTATTCAAATAGCGTTGCAGCTAAGTACATTAGTAAGTTGTTAATAAAATAGTTTTGGTATTTTTTATTAGAAACATATCCCAGTGCTGTAATTTGCTAAATATATTAACTTATATTAGAAAATAAGCTGTACTGTCCGGCATAGCTTATTTCAGCAGTATGTCTTCAACCAACTCTGACTGAAATCATCATCTCACCAGGTGTACTGTGGTCTGACCAGTCAGGGCAAGTTAATAGCTGTAAAGCAGGTTTGCCTGGATTCGTCTGACCCTGATGCTGCAAAGAAGGAGTACAGTCGTCTTCAGGGGGAAGTGGAGTTACTTAAAACCCTTCGCCACAGCAATATTGTTGGCTTTCTGGGGACATCCCTTTACCAACATGTTGTTTCCATCTTCATGGAGTATATCCCTGGTGGATCTATTGCTAGCATACTTCACAGGTTGAAATTATTTGTTGCTTACTTTAAAATATCTTACAAAAACGTTGAATGCCTAATTAATAAGGTCTGTTTCCATTTTCCCCTTAGATTTGGTCCTCTGCCAGAACGAGTATTGGCCCTGTACACCCATCAGATCCTGGAAGGGGTGGCATTCCTTCATCAGAACAGAGTGATTCATCGGGACTTAAAAGGAAACAATGTCATGTTGATGCCAACTGGTGTCATCAAGCTCATAGACTTTGGTTGTGCACGACGCCTCAGCTGCCTTAACCACACAGCTCCAAACAGTGGAGAGCTGCTGAAATCCATCCACGGTACACCTTATTGGATGGCGCCAGAGGTAAGTTAGATTTGTTTATGTTTTAGGCTTTTATAAAAACTTTAATTTGTGAGATGTGATGGAAATTTGATCTAAGTTCCCTTTGACGTTAGACGATCAACTTATGTTTTCAAGCTGTGTTTAGTCCGTTTTAATAGTTTTTTTAGTTTGTCTAGAAAGTCCAGTCTGTTAGGAGAGGTGTGAATTCTTAATCGAACTCTGGTTCGTCTCCAAACCTAGGTGTTGGTTGGATTAAAGTGAACTCTGATGCAGTTTGAATGCGCATCTGAATGCCAGGCAGACCGGAAACAGCTCCAAAAATGAACAAGAGCTCATGGCATCTAGGCCAATACAACCAAAACAACTGCAAGAGTCTAACATTAGAGAGAGAGCTGGCTTGTGGTGTTTTACCAAGGACAAATCCTACACCGCTCGAATCCTACTGCCATTTTTGCTTACATTATGGGAAGAAGGAAATTGAGCTCATCTTTTTTTGAGGCCTCTACTTTGGAAGTTCTTGGTGCAGCGGTACCACTAGCAAGGAGAAAACAGGTTTTCAATTTGTTTAGATCGTTTTGACAGTGCAGTGCGAAAGCAAACCACACAAGCTAATAACGTCATAAATGTTGCATTTTTGGTCCCCAACCAAATACATCAGACTATCAGGTGGACAACACACTTAGAAAGTTTGATGTTTTTCAATGTCCTACAACGCTTTTTATGCAGGACATCTTTATATGAAGACATGCAAATGTCCTGTCATTTATTTCTCCTGTTATTTTTCTAACCAGGTCATCAATGAATCAGGTTATGGCCGGAAGTCAGACATTTGGAGTGTTGGTTGCACAGTGTTTGAAATGGCCACAGGAAAACCACCTCTTGCACATATGGATAAAATGGCTGCCTTGTTCTACATTGGGGCTAGAAGAGGGTTAATGCCATCCCTGCCAGATGGTTTCTCAGAGAAAGCCAAGGACTTTGTAAAAATTTGTCTTACAGGGTAAGTTGTTAATTTATAATTTAATTATGACAATATCAAATTGTTATGGTTTTCGTAACATCTTACTGTAATATCTGCAACTTGCCTCTTTTTTCATTTCTAGTGACCAGAGCGTACGGCCATCAGCTGACCAGTTATTGAAACACTCCTTCATTTCTAAAGGGCACACAAGTATCAAATACTGGGAAGCACAGAAAAAGAAATGTTGTGGTCCAAAAGTGAGTGTTTAAATTGGGATAACTGCTGCTCTTAAATTCAGAGGCATTAAATAATATCTAATCATTTAAGTTCACAGCTCAAAAATGAATATATTGCGGTATCAAAACCACTGTGAATACACTCCAAATATAACTGTGTATAAATTGTAGATATTATTGTACACTTTCATTGATGAATGTGCCAATTTAATAAAAATTGTGTGTAAATTATATCCAGTACAAAGTGTTAAATGGTTTGTAAAGAATAAATGTCAAAGCAGATGACACATTACAAAACCACATTTTATAAACTATTACCACTGAAACAGTTCTGTGGTTCTTATGAGATAAAGGTTCATTTCAAATTGTTTCAGTCTTTCAATGCAAACAGTAAAATAAATTATACAAAAATATACATTTCAAATTCTAATGTTCTAAAACTAGTTTAATTCAAATTAAGGATTTTGAGTCTATAAATATTACCTATAGATTCTATATGGCGTTTGGACGACTGGAACCATCTGTTATATGCAAAAAAACAAAAACAAAACAAAAAAAAAAACAGTTCTTCTTTCCACTCAACTTCTCAATTCAACCCATTGGCTTTTAGTGAATTATTCTCCAGTGTCAGAAAGCAGTATTCACAATGATTGAGTAGGCCATAAAGGCTGGTAAAGAACATAAAAATATTTTGTCTCATGTAGTTTTCTGTTACAGATGAAATGTTGGGTTGCCATTAGCTGAAGCCTCAGTTAAAACTAACCACAATTGACATATATCTCTGTGTATTGAAACTTTCGGAATATATTCTAATTTATTAAAATGTGTTTAGGTTTCAAACCCATATCGGAGCACAGTGGTAGCTGTTTTAAATGTTTAAAGAAAATAAAAGATGTTTTCCGCTGATTTAAATGAGTGAAATTACATTTGTATGTAAAATAACCTTGAATACTGTACTGTGCTCAGTGATTAACTTCAGTCTATGTTGAATAAATATATTGGGCCAGTTCTATACATATCAAATTAACGAGAACTAAAAGGTTTGTGATCATATAAACTCAAAGTAATTCCTATTAATTGTTCAGTGCTGAAAGCATTTGCCCCAAAAGATTTATTTACACAAAACAAATTATCTTTTTTCAGATCATAAAAAAGACAGACGTGAGTAAATTTAAAAAAAAAAAAGCTGTTCTCAATTTATTTCCTTTAAAAAGTTAATTTTCCCTTAGTACATGAAGCATTTAAAACTTTTTTACTGGGGTCATAAAATGAAATTTTAATACTGATCTGAAATTCTAAGGCAGGAAATACTTGTCCACAGCACTGAACCATAGAGAAATAAACCATGTTTACCATTTAAAGACGAATTGTATGCCATATTATAAAAATAAGATTTTGTACAGTGTAATGGTGATGGCAATGAAGTTTATTCATCATATTAAAATGAGAAGTGGAAAAACGTGATGAGTGGTTCATGTTTTGTCTAAAACAATTGCAGTTTTTTATTTAATGTTCAACTGTAAATGCTTTATTACATACAAACACCACCAGCCTTGGACCAATATTGTATGTTGGATGCTTTACAATACAGAGGGGATTATAGGGTACAGTCTCTTCAGAAATGTAAGCTGAAAGTGACGCTTTAAATGTTAAAGGTATTTCCAAACACATACATGAGAGGAGAGAATCTAAATTGGTCTGGCATTGCCTACAAGAAATATTTTTCTCTAGATCTAATATGACCTAAATGTGGTTAAATGGGCTGATAACTTTATGCAACGTTTGATCCACTTGATGTAAACTTTAGTATCATATTAGTAGCATCCCTTTTTTGTGAGGCACAACCTTTGGCGTCCAGCTACTTAGAAGTGAAGGTTTTTGGTACAAAATGATTGCTGACATTGTTGTAGTGGGAATCCAACAGTACACCAGAAAGTCAAACTCCTGGAACGCTGCCATCTTTCAGTCGGTGACCTCCAATCAACTGAGCCGTGAAATAAAACTTTTATATGTATTATAGTCATCTTGTTATAATTACAATCAGCTCCAAACCTGAGTAGTCATGGTATAGCTTCTTCTTTAAACATACAAAAGAAACATATGTACATTTATCTCCATTTTTTTGTAAACAGCAAGTTAAGTGCTCCTCTCTCACATCCCTTTGATGATTGAAACATGCAAATCAAATGCAGTTTAAGTATAAAAAAGGAAACCAAGACCATAAAGTAATTTTGGAGATGGAACTTTACACCTAAAAAAAAATATTGCATCCATTAACAATATCAAGTGGAATTCCAGAAAACAAACTAAGCCATCTCCAGTTGGCCAGATAACTTCTTCCATATAATCACGCAATAGATTTAAATTACTAAAAAACAAAAACAAACATGAAAATGAAGAAAGTGCACCTTCCATGCTTTTATAGAACTTGTAATACTTGTCCTCTCATATGGAGGTCTTACAACGTGAAGATGGAACCTTTCCCCACCCCACGCATCCAGGTTCGCAAAATCTTCCACCCATTCGAGGAGAAAGTGAAAACTGAGCAGCAATTTGATACTAACAAAGAAAGGACTGAACGTCGCAGCCCCGAGGCGCGACAGGAAGCATAATTATTCATCTTTCTTATCTCTCAGAAACAGAGAAGTCCAACAATAATTATTTGCAGCAACGCTTTCTGCCTCTTAGTAAAGGGTTTATATTCACAAAGTGTTATTTTCTTAGGGCAGTTGACAAAGAGGTCAGCATAGTCTTCAAAGTCTCAGTGGTCGGTAGTTTGGTGCCAGTTCCATGGGCTGCAGAGCGTCGTACTCAGTGTCTCTGTTCTCCCACTTCATGTGGCGATTCGCCAGGAGGGAGGAACTGCTGAGAGGTCCGCAGCCCACCTGGGTAAGACAGGAGGGGAGGAGGAGGAAGAGGAGAGACAAGAATAAGGAGGAAGAGGAGGAGGGAAGGGAAGGGGAGGGAAGTTAGCCACAGAGCTGCGAGCCAGACGAGACACACTGCAGTACAGGAGAAGAGCGAGGAGGAGGAGGAAAGGGGAAAGAAAAAGATGGAGTACCTGCAGCACTAGTGCCACTCTTGGAGATTTTGCTCACTTTGGAGCAGGAAGTTGAGGATGAGGGGTGGTGGTTGTGGCCGCCCTCGGCGTAGGCCCTCTTTCGTGATGATGACATCAAAGCGGCAGACGTGGGATGACCAAGCGCCGTTCCTTCCATTGCCACCAGACCAGGAGGAATTCGCAGCAAACCCGCAGCCTCAGCAGCCCCTCGCCCGTTGCCGCTGTGCTTGTGGGGGCGATGGAGGTTGTGCTCTGCGCTGCGATGCTTCTCCTTGCTCACCAGCGGACTGGAATGTTTGCTCTTGCTGTTGTTGGCGGAAATGCCTTCATCTGATGAGCTATGCCGCTCCGATGAGGAAACTTTGATCTTCATCTTGAACTCATCTTTGATTGATTGTCCGCTCTTTTCTGGCGGAGCGTTGCTGCTGGACCCGGGAACAGGCAGACGAAGTTTGAGCGAGGCTTTGTCTCCGTGATGGCGTCTGTCTTGCCCTGAAGAAACTGAGGAGGAAGGGATTTTCATTTTCAGAGGGGAAGCTGTAGTGCTGCCACTGTGGGAGGCTTGATGAGGCTGTGCATGTTTTCTATGTTCTATGTGGGTAATGTTTGGTGGTGCATAGGTAGAAGAGGAAGTCAAGTCGCCTTTTACATCACAGTCCATTAGTCCTCCATGGGGCTCCTGCCTGCGCTTCTGGACAGTATACTCTGCAGAATGTTTCTCTCTGTATTTATCCAGAGACAGTTTCAGAACTGGAGGTTGACCAGAAGGCGGGTAAACAGGCTGAGGTGTTGAGTGATGCTTGCCTGCTGTTCCTTTCTCCTGTTTAACAAGGTTTAAATCAACCGTTTTTTCAGTCTTGTAAGGCGGAGGGTGCTGGAGCAAAGAGGAAGTGGAAGTCTGCAAAGACAGCATGGATTCGTGGATGGGGATGCTGAGTGGTTCCTGTTTTACGCAAGTGGAGGGGTAATGGCTCTGGTTAACCTGAGGCCATTCACTGTGGCTGGCTGGGTTGTACGTGGCAGCCATGGCGTCCAGAGACATCGGGACCCCTCTGGAATGCCCTGGCATGGGTACTGAAAAGGCAGCACCTGCTTTAGAAAAACTTGGGTTGGACGAGGAAACTCCAGGAAGTGCTGTATCGCCGTGGTCCTGAAGCAATGAAGGCCCAGTAAATGCGTTATCCGTCGACTGCATATTTTCACTTTTGGGCTTTTTTGCAGCTTGTGTCGCCTAAAGGGCAAAGATTTGCAAGGATTTTAGTTCTGGGTTGTTTTTTTAAAGACAGTTGAGATGACAAAATTATAAGATTGTACAAGAAGTTGGATTTCTGCACATCTACATTATAATCACAACTTCTGCTTTATTTTATTGAGATTCTATGTGACATACCAATGCAAAACATAGCATAATTATGAAGTAGGAAGTATGATTATGAGTTAGATTTCTGTCTGTAAACACATCTATGTAATTATTTCCATCTACTTCCCAATTGTGTTGGTCACATAAAACCTCAAAAATAGAGAATAGCTTGTGTAAAAGTGAAAGGGTTAATAGATGTGAATTTTTTTCCAAGACAGTCTAATCTAAAAAAACTATAGTACTGTTATATCTTACCCTCCAGTTCCGTATTCTCTTCAGTCTGCTTGGAGTTTTCTCCAGAATCTGCAGAAACTCATGCGTCAGCTCTGAAATTGTAAAGGATAAACATGATAAAACATTTTAGAATTAGTTTTAATTCCTTAATTTGCTTAAATAACTAAAAGTAATTTAGATGTATGTAGTAGTATAACTTCACCATCAAGCAGCTCCAGAGTCACTGTGCTGTCCACATACTTCCACCAATGTTTCCCATCAGTGGAAACGGGAATCTCCCAGTTGGACCACTTGCAGGCCAGATGTATGCATACACAGGCGATCACTGTGGGCTTGTACTGGAGGCAGAAGGTAGTGAGGTGCAAACTGCAGAACGGGTGAGGAGATATCAGGGAGTTCATCAGGTCACAGGAGGTCAAAATCCATCCAACATGTGGAGAACAAAGGAAAAACACAAGAGGGAGCAGACAGATTTAATATATTGTTGGTAAAGGGTCAAAATGGCAGTGAAAGCAATGTAAGTGTTTTGATACAATAAAATGACTTCAAAATCTAACTGTGGTTAATTTCCTCCTAAC